GCTTGACGCTCATATCCATCTACTCAATTGGGCAGTAGCAGCGCGGCATTGTGGCGTCGCGCCTCGCGGAATGCTGCTCATGAAGACGAGCCTCTAGCATGGTTTCAACCTAGTCGAGTTCCTCGTCAAGCAGTTGCATGATGTAGCCAAACAATTAAATAATTTCTTCCATAAATTATGTAGCTAATTACATTTCTACGTAGTTTTACAAAGTTTCTAGTAAGTATAAGTAGTAGTATGTCTAATGAAAGTTTTAACAGAAATGATTTAATTTCCGAAATCTAGACCTACCTACCCATTTAACTTATCGTTCTAGGAATTAGTCAAAACTGTACCTAACTGTCTCCTTTTAGGTAGGTAATAGAGATAATTAATTAAAGTCTTCAGATACCTCCTACCAGCCGTTAATATTTCCTAAGAAATTGATGAATGTTATCAAAAGAATTCCAATTTAATTTTATGAACAGACTGTTCATTTTGCAAATCTTTATTCTCTACCCACGATTTATCAAGTTTCTTGTTCATTTAACTTTATTATAGGTATTAGTGTAGATTATAAAACTAAACTGCTTATTTGTACCTAGTATGTACATTTTGAAGGAGCACCTATTTTCACTGACAGATAGACTGACGGACAATTCAATTTGGATCTGTCGAAAGTGCCTTAAATAAGTATTATCGTATACTCTTATTATGTTTCAAACGCTTTGCTTGGCTCCTATTGATCGCAACGTGATATTTTATAGCCTACAGCGTCCCTCGACAGCGTACCGCGCGCTTCTCAAAGAACTATCAGGCCACCACGGATGGGGCCCAGTAGGGCTGATGCCGATACGGAGTCGCGGAGGACATAACGCGTTACACCAGGTCTCCAGCTCGAAGTACAAGAGTAGAAACGAAGTGGTTTTTAATCAGTAAGGGTCTAACACTCCCTCCCGCCTCAACCAGGCGGGAGAAGTCATTCGATGATTTTCCCTCCTTAAATAAAAAGAAAGCGTTTCTTTTATTAACACAAAAATAATTATTCAATTTGAACCAGTAGTTCTGGAGATTAGCGCATTCAAGCAAATGAACAAACAAACAACCGGTTCAGCTTTTAACTCGTCGAGTACGCGTTGCGGTCACCGGTGACCGCAACGCAACCTATTGTTCTATAATTGTGTCTATAATGATAATGACGGTACTCGACGAGTTAATTTGAACATAAGTATTTACTTATATAAAATAATTTTGTAGGTATAGATACCTACGTATTGTTTGCACCACACATTCCCAATTTAGTTACATTTGAGTTAATAGAGAAACACGACGTTGATATTAGTTTTGAAACGAGAAAATTAACGGCGACGGACAGATGGGAAATAACATTTCGCCGACCAAATGTGGAACACCACCGTTTTAACTGGACGCCATTTTCAAACGGCGGATGTTAACATATTTTTTAGGTACCTATATTTTTATTAAAACGGCATGACCGCCTTTTTTAAACGTCCTTGTGATACCTATAAAGGTATTTATTTTCATTTACCTATAATGATTGGTAGGCAGATGACAATCATTTTTCGCCATATATAATAGAACAGTCCAATTGACACTTAAAAGAAGTAGGTAAGTACCTAAATATTGGATGGATGGAACTAAAAGCTAAATCACAATTATTCACTTTCATTGAACTGAAACTTGTTACAGAAAGCTGAAATTATTAATCAAAATTGTTCGACAAGGTTCCATTACACACAGTTCATTAATATTGTTCAAATTTTACTTTTGAAACTGCTATAGTTTTACGTTTTTATAATAACTATCGCGAGACATAATAAATTAACTAAAAATCGCGGGTCACTCACGTGAATATACTGAGAAAAGATCTACTAGTTTCGGACCACAGAGGGGTTCTTCCTCATGAGCAGCGTGCGCGGTCGCGGTGATGCCTACCGCAGCAGATCAGTAGGCTACGCGACATCGGCGCTTTTCTCAGTATATTCACGTGAGTAACCCGCGATTTTTAGTTAATTTGCTATAGTTTTACGTCTATCTTACTTAGACCTTCATCCTTCACTAATAAATAACATTCATTTGGTTGCCAACCTAATCATCGTAGTGGCCCAAAGGTTTAAGACGCTCGCTTCTTATGGATGAGGGTGCTGATTCGAAAACTACCAACTGTAAATATCAATGTGACTTTATCCGAGTTATACTTATGTACCTACTTTCTAAGATTATTTAGACACCACTGACAAACGGTGAAGGAAAACATCGTGAGGAAACCTAACCTTATAGGTACTTTGCTTTTACTTACTTTTTTATCGTCAAAATTCATATGAGTTATTTTTATTGCCTTTCTAAACATAATGGAACAATTTGGCAACATTAGAGGTACATTAAAATTAATGATTAAAATAATGTTGGTAAGTAAATTATAGACAAAGATGAAATTGTTTTCGGGTCGAGTAAACGGAAATGAGTAGGGTCGTGGATTGTAATAACTTTTTATACAACGAGACCCGTAAACACCGGGTGGAAATAAGTCGACCAATAAATTATAAGAACTCATGAGACATACTAAATTAACTAAAAATATCGGCTTACTCCTATATAGGTCCCTATATTTACTGAGAAAATCTCACATCAAATCAAATCAAATCTATTGGCTAAACTTTTGAAAAATTCTTTGGACTTATTAAATTCTCTGCACCTGATTATGTTCACAAGAGATACCTAAGTAGGTATCTACCTAAGTATGTACATAAGAACTTCATAAAACGATATTTTTGATAAATGACGCAGATAATACTATTATTATTTATTGCTTACAAACTGTGTTGAAACAACGTGCAACAGCAATATTATTAAACGTTGGAATGATGTTTGATTTATGATGCAAATGATTGAATTCTGAAATCTGAAGAATATACCTACCTAAATGATCTAAAAGTCGAGGGTTACTCACGTACACTACAGTGGGCTGCGCGGCATCGCAGCCATCTCACACGGTGCTTATGAGGAAGAACGCCTTTGTGGTTCGAAACTAGTAGAGCTTTTCTCAATTTTGCACGTGAGTAATCCGCGACTTCTAGTTTATAACCCACGTCATAAAATATGGTTTTACGCTTTTTATTCTCGAAGGAGAGGAGTACCAATACGTTGGTACTAACACGAAATCGAACACGAGACTGCTTACTTGACAGTATCAAATTGCGATTGCAACTAAGTACTCGTCGCTAATGTAGTATAATAGGACATAATGTAGGTATACCAATACAGGTAACAATTATAACTAATTATATTGAAGAATAGAACCTAGGTGATACAGAACATAGTCCATTAGCATGCCTAATTCAATTTAAATTACGTGATTGAATAATTAAAAAAAAAAACAGACTTCAAATTCGCTATTTTGGTTGCATAACAATTACATAAATTGCATAAACATTATTCTTATTTTAACTGTAATTTAGCTAATCGAAATACAGGTAGGCACATGACTAGGTGCATTGTGACCACTTCAAAAGATTTCGTGAATGTCCCACTCAATAGGGAGGCGCACTCTGTGGTGAGTGACTGCAGAGTACCTACAATACATTTTTATTTGTTAAATTTACGAGCCCCCGAAAACTTAACGAGCCGCGGAAGACTTAGCGGATTATCAGGGCTCCGGTTCGAAGTGCAGGAGTAGGCACGGGGTGGTTTTTAGTCAGTAAGAGTATGACACTCCTTCCCGCCTCACCCAGGCGGGAGCAGTCATTCGTTGATTTTTCCCAATAAAAAAAATATACTCAGTTTTAAGTTGTAGGTACTTCAATATCGTCCCATTTCTTTCATTTTACAAAGAATTTGTAGTGACAGAACTATTATAAGCACGACTTAAAATTGAGGAGCGTTTCAGTATTTGGGCATTAATCTTGCCTTTATTACGAAACACCTTCTTATGTAGAGAAGACTTACTCCAGCAGTAGACTGTAATAGACTATTGGTGATGATGACAAAAAAGAAATAAATTGTAACAAAAAAATATTTATTTATAAACCATAATTATATTTCTACTATTATTTATATTCTGTACATAATAATATTTATCTAAATTGGCAACTATGATTTACTTGCAGTAGGTAATATATAGATCTACAGTATGCAACATAGATAAAAATGCAGTATTACTAAAATAAGTTTGACAAAATGTAACAACAAAACGGTCAGTGCGGAGGTTGCGCCCGCGCAATGTGTACAGAGTGCCAAGCACGAATAACTATCGCATTCGTAACGTAATAGTATCCGGCTGCTCATGTCGGCCGGCTCATGTGAACCAACCAATCAGAACGCTTAACTCGCTCGATACTGTTACGATACGAATGCGATAGTTATTCGTGCTTGGCCCTCAGGTTTCAATACCCGCAAGAAGCAATTCTTTTTGTGATCCACAAATTGTTGTTTCGGGTCTAGGTGTCATGTTTATGTGAAATTGTATGTTTGTAAACACACCCATGACACAGCAGAAAATTCTTGTCCGGGGCAATGTTATATTTAAATAAATAAAAGCTTTTCACAGGACAAAAGCTCTTAAGTCAATTCAGATAGGTTGTTTATCCTATAATTAATAACTGTGTTAATTTATTCTAATATTGATTTATATAGGTAAACTATAACTTAACAATTATATAATCTTATATAGGATGTAAACGAAGAGCTATGAAAATGCAGACATTTGTCTGCATTGATCAAAATGACAAAAATGATCGTTTTTAGAGTTTAAATTGTTCTTGTTTTCGTGTGATTCACGCAACATCTGCCTTGAGCAGTTGATTACAATTATCACTACATAGTATAAAACAAAGTCGCTATCCGCCGTCTTTCTGTCCATGTATGCTTACATCTTTAAAACTACGCAACGGATTTTGATGCGGTATTTTTAATGAATAGAGTGACTCTTAAACTGTCAAACACCAAGCGGTCACCGGTGACCGCAACCTATTGTTCTATAATTGTGTCTACAAAACCGGTACTCGACGAGTTAAAATAAAAATTTAATTCCTTACTTTTATTAAATAAAGCTTGATTTTTATCATTGTTTTTTGGGTCTCTTCCGTTTACAACCTATATATGAATGTTTTTGTACAAATATAGTACACCATGTATCATTTATGTACCAAGCCCAGCTACACCAACAATATACAGATCTATAAATAATAAATGTACAATTTTGTCCTATAAGTTTGTGAGAAAAATACTTAAGTGTTAATAGAATAAATTTACAACTGATACGGATCATGTTTTAACAGTGAATACATTTTGTAGTACTTTTTAGCTCAGGTTAGCATCAAATACTATTCTAATATTACACAAATTGAGCATAGGTATTAGGTACAAGTGAAATAACTGATACAATGAACAATAATTCGAATTCAAATTGTTTTAGAGAACAAACCAGGCAAGCAACCAACCACACAGGTTAATTATTGATTTAGGATCAGCACTCACATGATAAAATTACAAATCTCAACTTTAACACAGTTAAAATAAAGTCCAAAACTATGTACAAAATTAGACATAGGTACACAATGTACAATCAACATTACATTTTAAATTTTCTTTTCACACCCATAACATTGAAATTCATTAAACAATCTGCAATCTTATTCAATCTGCTTTTTCTAGTTCAGTCTTTCGATATCAGACTATACTGTTCAGTCACCTAGAACAGCCAAAGCCATTTCTTTAGATATACTATCGGACATACTATTACGCTTCTCAACCTCCTGGTCATCATTAGACCACCAGCTCTCATCATCATCTTGAATGAAACACAGGAACAAATCATCTTCGTAAGTCGGAAAGTAGTACTCCGGTTGATCCCACTTTTCCTTACACAGTTCCCAATGTTTTGTCTCTTTCAAATGCTTTTCTAAGTTCTTCGAATCGTCAAACTTCGTATCACAAGACAAACATTGCTTCAAATGTATTTGACGACGTATGTAGTTCACTATTTTGACTTTGTGGTAGAAATCCATGCCCTCCGTAACTTTGCCGAAGTAAAATTCATGTTGTTTCTCCATGTGGTCTAATGTTTTGTCATATTCTTTCTCGGTGTGTTCACATAAGAGGCAGGTTATGAGTGGACCGTTCTCTTCGGTCCAATCGGACCACTCAGGATCGCTGTCCACATTGGAATCATTTTCAAACTCCAATGTTTTCTTCACATTCTGATTTTTATTTAGCCTATAATATTGTTTACTTTGTTGTTTATCACCTACATAATTGACTAGAAAGAATTTGTCATATTCCTTATTTTCTGGGTTAATTCTCTTGTGTCCTTTTTTACGCATGTGTTCTTTCAGTATGGTGCGGTCCTTGAAATTACCTTCGCAGAATATGCATTGCAATTTCTCTAGTTTAGTAGATATTGTGTTTACTAGTTCATCTATGAATATTAAGTTGTCTGGTTTAGCTATGTGGAAGTTATGTTTTTCATATAAATGGTTGAGGTAATTCGCTCTAGTTGTTGTTGATATGTTACGGCAGAAGAGACATTCTCTCACATAATTTTTATCCTCTCGTTCAAACTGATGTCTTTCTAGTAATTTTTCTAATCTTGTCTGCTGAAGATTTGTGCGCAGTTCCTTATCTTCAGGAAGGACATCGCTGAGTAAATAATATTCTTCATTTTTGGATTTTGTACCATCTGGTTTGTTGTCGAGCAGCATTGTGGTGCAGAAGTATGGCAGGTTCTGATCTGAAACATTAAGGTGAAAGCTATAATTAATACAATTTAAACATTGTTATTCGCATCATCACCTATCATCATCAACAGCCTATAAATGCCCACTGCTGAGCAAAGCCTCTTCTGATACGGAGAAGGTTTTACCAATAATTACCACGCTTGCTCAATGCGGGTTGGCGATTACAAATTTATAATTAGAAATTATAAGCCCAGGTTTCCTCATGATGTTTTCTTTCACAGTTTGTTAGTGGTTTCTGAATAATCTTAGAAAGTACATATAACTCGGAAAAAGTCACATTGGTACTTGCCATTGGTAGGTTTCGAACGCGCACCCTCATGCATGAGAAGCGGGAGTCTTAAACCTCCAGTACACCACGACATCATCAACTAATAGCATCAAATGATACAGCCTATAAGTGGGTATTGTTGCCTAAAGGCCTCTTCACACATGGAGGTTTGACAATAATCGCCAATAATTGCCTCGCCTGCTCAATGTGGGCTTTAACATGGAGGATTTCTTCAAAGTGTAAGTAAAGTCAAAGTCAAAGCATTTATTTCAATTAATCCATAGTTTGGTACTTTTGAAACGTCAACAAATACAAAATAAATAATAGTCTGTCAGTCAGTCCGTAACAATAATCTACACTATAAATGAGATATTACATCAATATTCCTTAACAGTTGTATGTTTGGTAATAGACTAATACCATAACCTATCGTAAAAACCTAGAATTACTATAGCATGTGAAACTGAGCAGAATAAAAATAAGAAGAAAAAGCCTTCATAATACTGTGTGGTACATTGTCTGCGCATGACTTAGTAATGTATCAATAATTAAGGAACTTTCTTCTAAGAGTAATCACTAGGCATTCTGTGACCAAAACATGACTGTATCTTCAACACTGAACCATGATATGATATTAAAAATGTTGACTGCCTCATTTGCCAAGTGGTCACAAGTGTGACTGCCGGGCAAGGGGTCTCGGGTTCGATTCCCGGGTCGGGCAAAGTATTACTGGGTTTTTTAAAATCTCAGTAGTAGCACAGAGTCTGGAAATGTGCCCGGTATATGGCAATAGCACACCCCCTATTACATGGGACTCATAACATAAATAGTGAATAGTGGTTGTTACATTGTTCAGTAGCATTAAGTGCCGAAATGTGCACCTCTGCCCCTGCCCCTTCGGTGATAAAAGGGCGTGATGTTGTTATGTTATGATTTAATAATAAAATATTGACCACAGAACAATTTGCAACCATTGTAATAATCTAGTATACATTTAAAAGTATAAAAGGGAATGAAAATTCAAAGAACTAACCTTTAAATCTCAGTCGCCAATATCGCAAGTATTCTTTCAAATCAGCGATTTGGTTGACATCAGCTATAACTAAACGGTGCTTCATGAACAAATGGGTAAGCAAATCCTTCTCATTTGATGGCAGTAAGAAATTCTGTTCACATAAAACACATGAACACTCAGTCACTTCTTCGCTTTTAAAAATTGACGGGTTATCCGTTTTCTCGTGAAGAGTTAACGGCCCGAAGAATTCTTTCTCTTTTACCGACATTGTTATGTTATTTACACACACTATTTGGTTTATATTTGTGAAATTAAAATAAAAACTCGCCAATCACAAATACGTTCACAAAACAATGCAGTTTTAATGACAGTGACGTCAGTGACAATTTTGACAAATGACATGTCAACTGAAGTTTTTGTGTTTGGATACGCTTCTAGAACGAGTAATTCGTTTGGATACATGGAAGTAAAATAGTAACAGTTCACCGCAATCCCTTGTTCTGTTTTTGCTCAATTTATTTCTGTGTAAAATACATATGATTGCAAAAGAGTAATTTTTGTAAACAGAAATATTATAGGTAATTTGTAATGGGTTCCGATGTCAGTAAAAATAATATTAGTATAGTGTACCTACTTAAATACTTACTATTTTAGGAGAAACTTAAGTTCAGTGTGGACACTGGACTAGACATTTTTTGTTGTGTCTGATTATTGTCGGTAATCATACGTATTTTTCATGGAACAGATATTAAATAAAACACCATAAAATTCGTAGATCTGTTTTAATTTATTATTTATTTATAGATTATGCATTATTCTTATCCATCAACTCTATTTACATACAAAATAATAGGAACTTATAGATTTCATATTCAATTACCTAAAATAACTATTTGTTTACAAATTACAAACTTATTAGCGTATTAGACATAAATTAAAACTAAGCACATATTTCTACTAACAAAGCCAGGACAGAGAGAAAAACAAAACTCAAAAAAACCTTTCTTAAAAAGACAGATCATATCCTTTTTACAATATTTTTAGATACATAATTGACATCAAGCGAGCATAACAAATCGAACTATGATTGTATAATTACACGACTACATAATAGTTCTTTAAAATTAAAACACAAATAAATGCCACATTACTTTAAAACAATACAGATAGGTTCTTCAGGCACAAATTGATTTATTTACATTGGGCAAGGATTGGGCCACAAATGGATATAAATAGAAAAAAATATTTTAAACTATTAGAAAGGAAATCAATCAAACCATGCTTACTCTACTAATACTGTTACCAAAAATAGTTTTTATTCCGCAAGAAGAATGTATTCACATATTATATTAGTATTCTTAGGTAGAACTGAATTTTAAACTGATGAATATGAAAACTAAAACATAAATAAATGACAATATTTTTGTCTTCTCAAAATCAATCAAGTAAGTAATCGTAATTGGCTAATATAATTACATTGGTTAGTTAACTTTTGACTGCTTAGCTTATCGGACCAAAAGCCCCTTTGACTAACTAGCGCCATCTAATGAGCGCGAAATCGAAAACCGCAAACGTTAACGTTAACTATTTCATAAATAAGTGATATCTGATTTACTTAATCATTTTGATATGCTATGTACCTATTTAAAGGGACTATTAATGCCTGTCATACATTCCTTCTTGCCAAATAAAACATAAATAACTCTATATTCAATCCTCTTTGCATGAAACCTTAGTATCCACGTATAACGTATTGTAAGGTACTGAATATCCTTTATTTGAAGCAATGACTTGAATTGCGTATTTCCTTCCAGCCTTTAGCCCACCAATTTTCTGTTTTATCACTCTGGATCTGAAAATATTTTTTATACAACATTATAGATAATTCATTACAACTATTCGCTTAGAGATTACTTCTTAAATTTCGAATAGGTACCTACTTGAATAATACAAAACCAATTTGACCATTTTTAAAAGTTAATTAAATTAGATAGATGTCAGTTAAGTATTAAGCTTTTTCAGTAACTTACGTCTTCTGTGTATGGTTTATGCATTGCCCCTTGACTGCTTTCCTAGTTGACCAGCATCCATAGACCTCTCCGCTTATCGTCTCTCGAGCAATGATGCAGTATCTGAAAATATACAATTGTTATTATAGACTATTTCAAATTAACATTATGCTCGGTATATGGCAATAGGCTCACCCCTATTACATGGGACGCATAACATAAACAGTGAAAAGTGGGGTTTACATTGTACAGTGGCATTTAGTGCCGTTATGTGCAACCTCTGACGTGATGTTATGCTCTCTAAAAGGCGTGATGTTATGTTATGTATGTTCAAATTAACAAAATATGGGATTAATTTAAAAATGTACGCTATTCCATCTGTCCTTATAGCCCCTTATAATTATGTAATAAGGGATGATGGAAGAGGATCACGCCCTCTTTCAGTAACAGAGCAGCGTTATCAGCCTTTAGAATATAAGTTTTCATTAAATTGGGTAAAATTTCAGTTGCACTTATAAATATGTATTGGTCTTTAATCTTTATCACTATAAAAGTCTACATAATGTTACCTGATGACATCCGTTGCATTATGGGTGGCTGGTAAGAATGCTACATCAACAGATCTACAAGACCTGATAGGCCGTAGTTCCCTGACGACGGCTCCATCTTCAGTCAATTCTGGAGTGTTCATGCCCCATCGCGTTGTTGACGCTGTCAACTAGAGGAAAAATTTATCGTTTCATTATTTGAAAAAAAAAATATCTAGTCTTTGTTAAATCTAGGTGGAATGAAATAAGACAAAAAAAAACTCATTGACCGTTTTGGATGTTTATACCGTGAATGAATAAAGGATGTTTCTCTCTTCTGTAGTACCTATAAGGTATTAATTTTTAGGGAACAGAGTGGAAAGTTCCACAAGATCGGAAAAGGAGGATCCTCCGACCAGGCGAGGTGATCCTGGCTTTCTGCCCAACAATTGTTCGTTGTGATTTTCTATCCGTGTTAATTTGCATGTAAACTTTGCATGTGCGATGTAGAATTTTTGTGACGTCATCCTTTGACATGTAGGTACCATGTGTCGCCACAAATTAATTATCCTGATCATCCAAAAGACACTACCGCTGAACTTAGACCATATCTTAGGACTTTCAACGTTTTACTGTTTATTACCTACTAAAGAACCAATCGAGATCTATTACATCTTAAGAACAAGACTTACTTCAATACCCACAGCGCCATCTCTATCCCATTTACTGGGCACCACTTTGATAACGTATCTCATTCTAGCCTCCTCGGAACTGGAGTCAAACTGCACAGATCCTTCATCACTCGTCTCTTGGATTGAAGATGTAGTAATTGGTGCTGGCACGAAGAACTTGGAGTGTGGGTCTGAAAGAAAAAGTTTTTAATTAATATTCCCTATTAATAGGTACATCACACACGTCCAGTTGAGAAGTAGGTGAAAGATTTGATTAGGCTTCTTAAATAAGGAAATAACAATATCTAGTACGTTATTTAAAATTAAAACTTCAAGAAGCAAACAGCGCTAAGTTTTCGGGCCCAGAAGCTCGGACCTTTATGAAAATGTTGTCAATTTTTTAGTTTTAATGTATGCACATAATAAATTGAATTCTTACCAATATTTCTAACCATGTGTAGTCTTTTGCCCCTGACCAGAACTTCGACATCGACTGCTCCTCCACAGGTAGATAGAGTCAACCAGAGACCACCTCCAGCACCAACTGTTGCCTGAAATATGATGTTGATGTTTGGTGCATTGCAATCAGAGGTAAACGGTATGATGCGTTACTGTGTGGGAGATCAGCTAATAACGTCTGGCGTACCTTAAAATAAAATACACTTCTTCCTCTAATATCAGCTTTGGTTGGTATGTTTTCTCGAAGTCGCTTTGCAGTGGACGTGCGCGGACGAACACTGCCCGTAGCCAACAGAGACCCAGAGCGACGGTCCTTGGCTACACCAAATACGCTGACGAAGTAAGTCTGGAAAATGAACAATTGGACTAGTTATATTTAGCTAATGGAGATTATAAATAACCTCATTGATGGGGCAAAAAAACTTCACAAACAACATTAAGGTGGATCTAACAAAAAAATATTCAAAGAACTCATTCATAGTACAATTAGTTCAACTATAATGTCTGATCAAACAGTTCAGTAATAGGAAGGTTATCATAAAGGGTCATTACCGTACTAGGGTCCAAGTTTTCTATCAAATGATGCGTCCTTCCACCAACACAAGCGATAACTGGATCCTCATCTGTCACTTTGGTGCTGCGACCTGAAATCATATGACATCCAAAATTAAATAATTTATGGAAAAACTATACATAAGACAATAAGTAAGAAAGTTTTTTTTTAATACAATTATATTACGTAAAAAGTTAATTCATAAGAACAAAGTAGGTCCACAATATATTGAGAAAATTTTTTGACAAAAAGGTCTAGGTATAAACAACTGATATTAGTGATATTAAATTGATAAATTAACAAAAAAACTCTTATGTTTATAATCCTATGCACCTACTCGAAGAACTATAAAAGAGAAGAAGTCTTTAAAGATTTCAGCCAAGAACTAAACGACAAAAACTTACCAAACTTCTTCCTCCTAAAAACATTATTAAAATTCCCTTCATAGACATTGAAAAGGTCTGAATCTACATTAATCTTATTATCAACTTCAGACATTAAATCAAAACGAGTTTCATTATCTATTCGTTCGTTTTGTTTATTACGATCCATTTCTTGATTCAATCTGTTTGATTTGTTCTCCAAGCGACTCATTTTGATGTCATGGTGGGCTGCACAGAGTGACGTGTAGTTCTTTCTGTGTGATGCTACTACGCAGTATGTGGTTTCTTGAGGGTCGATTGGGCTGGAACCAATTAAAAATAAAATAATTTAACATTTCGATTCTAAATCGATAAAGAATTCATAGAAATAAAGACGATAAAGATCATCCTTACGATCTCTATTCTACAACAAAAACTCTTTCAATGTTAATTAAAATAAAAAATCAAAATACCTATAAATAATATTTAACCAAAAGAGTCTAACCACTTGATTAAAAGTAAACTTCATGAAGAAAAACATAAGAAATGTAGACATTGTAGCAACTTCAAAACACCCAACATCGAAAGACCCATCACTTCACTCACAATTTACAAGAAGAAAGATCAGGAAATATTGGTACAGTATAGTCTGACGTGCCGCCGCCTGTTAACTTACAATCAAGAACGAGAAAACTAGCAACTTTCTTAACAATCTTTATAAGGAGTCAATTATTGAAGTTAAATTGACGAGCTACGTTGAAAACATTGAAAATCCTATTGAATTACTTTAAAGGTAGGATGAGTTCTCAGTTATACGTGTCTTGTTGAATAAAAAGTTGTTTGGACTAATACAAGATGGCGATTATAAACGCGTTGAATTTTTTAATCAATCGTTTGATCTTTTTGATTAATTAAGATATGGCTGATCTGGAATCATGGCTGGGTAATCAAACTGGTAGACAGGAGGATCTAAAGATGCTATGATATGGAAAAGTCTTATAGAGGTTTTGTTTCGAAATTATCAAAAACCATAATGAATGAAATAGAAACACAGATGACTTTAGAAAACTTGAAATGTTTTCAACCTCGAAAAAATTTTGACTGCAATACACAATAGACAAAAAAGAATAACAAGATAATGTTAATGATTAGGAATTAAAAAGCATAGGATATGTACTCCAGTCAAATACAATCCCGAAAAAAATATTATTAAAGCTAAAATCTTATCAAACGACAAAATGAAAGACACGATAATGTAAGTACAATATCTACAAACGCTAAAACAAGTATCAAGTAGATCAAATAAATGCTTGAGTTATCACTGGCTTCTGTGCCACGAAGGTATTCATACAAATAAAAATATAGAAACTAAGGCATGCATACTTAATCGAGTCAGGACTATGCATACCTGTAAGTGGTCTTAATTAATATGTTACTTCTTGTCACTTTAATTAAGTACGTAATATTTATAAGGACGAATGAAAATTGGAATACACTTTCAATTTGATTACTCAATCTTTATTTACTTTGAGCTTTAAATTCCAATTAATGGCCTGAGGCACATTATTTAAATTTAATCAAGGTGTTTTCGAAAGGTCGTCTATAGACAGAAAGGGTTTCCGAGAATTTTGGTAGGTATAAGGTAAATCAAACATCACTATTTCGAAGAATTGCATTCGGATACTATATCATTGTTTTATTACACTGTGTAAAAATTTAGAGTCAAAGTTGAAAAATCGGATGAATAAGGGACAAAGACAGATGTTATAAAAATTAGTAAAACAAACAGTTTGAAGATATAGGCTGCCGGTGATAGTTAATTATCAACAGATGTGACGTCATGGATTCTAATGATGGTAATGAGGATAATTTTAAGAAGAATTACGGCCGTCTAATAGAGTAAAATACAATTAAGGAGGAATTAAGTTGGGGAAAGCCATTGCTTCGGCACGAACGGACCAGCTCGACCGGAGTGATACCGCTTCACAGAAAACCGACGTGCGTTGTGTTTTGTCGTTTGAGTAAGATTACCGGAGGCCCAAACCACCCCCCTCCCCAATCTCAGCAATGCCCGAGGCTCTGGTGATCCATGAGCGACGCCGATTGCTTACCATCAGTTGATCAGGTTGGACATTTACTGGCTTATACCATAAAAAATAAATTAAGCAAAGATTCTTAGGGGGTTAAGTACTATGATACCTAATGATAGATTTTAGTGACGTATTAAACGAATGAATTATAATCGATGTATTGCGGCGACACGACTTTGAACCCGGACTCATGGAATTAGCTTTACAAATACACTGATTTACGAGTTCAAGAATGAGGACGAAACGGCTAGTTGTGCGTCAATCGATGGTGTCCCTATTACAAAATTGTTGACAGGATTTATAATTATATCTGTATATTTAAATATTATTTCATTGTAATTATTGTCTTGAATTTATTGTATTTTATCAAGCTTAAAGTTTCTATATTATTATTATAAACAGTGGTGAAAGTTACAAGTTTTGCAATGTCCTATTTCAAATTTCTTTTTACCACTTTCTGAACGAGTAACTAACTAACAAAGATGTTAAAATAATAAACATAATCTCCAGTATTTTAAGGGACTTAAGGGTTATATTAAATATCAGGATAATAGACTTATCAATAGCAACATCATTTGAAATATAAACAATAAAAAAAATAAAAAAATATTATAAAATTCTAAGAAGAAACAGCCAGCCCTGTCATTGTAACCTTCAATAACGGGATATACAGGCATCTCAAACAAACATATGGTTCTATAGATCCTACACAATTAAGAGCCAAGGAATTCCAACACACAATGTTGTTCAGCAGCATCTATGATTGACAGGCTACGTGGGACTTTAAAGAACATTTTGCTCATAAAAAACACCATCAGGAAATATTTGTAACTGTACTGAGGCACCTTGGAATTTCTATTGCAGTATCATCGGTGAATGAAAAAAAGCTGTTATTGTTATTGTTTTGAACAACTTAATGATATTTACTTCTTAACTGATAAGGGTATAATGAGGATGATTGTTAAAATTAGGACAAGACTCAATAATGATTGTAATACAGTTGAAGAAGAGATATAAGAAAGACCAGTTAGAAAATGGCATCCTTATCTTAATCTAAAACATTGAGCTGTCATATTGCTGTAACATTTATTTTATAGCCCATTTATCACCGTTGCCTATTTTGATACAAAACACTAAGAAATCGATGAAAATCTAAATCGAAGTAAGCTTGAAGTAAACCAATAAATCAAAGTCTTCATAAAAATTTCATTACCTGCAGCAAACAGCTTCGGCTCTAAAAGGCATAGTGTTATAAATTCATTGGTTTTCTTGTAACATGTGTATGTGAGACATTTATTTCTAACGGTGCGTCGAGCAACTTGTTTTTATTGAGATATTTCTGAGTGTCAACGGACGAGGTGATTTAGGTGTGTGTTATATTGATTCTGAAGTATGTTTCACCGAATGCACTGGATATGGTATGGTATGGAAGTGAATTGATTTTAGAAAATTTGCAGTTAAACTAAATTCCTTCGAGGTTTCTCTTCCCTTCTAAGACTTTAACTTGATATTCGATTGAGTGTGGGTATCATCGTTACCATCACCACTAACAACATGTACTGTTTTAGGGTCTGATATAAACTCTGCGCATGACTGACGGATTTGGAGATCGCCAAAAATGTTATAGAGAAGTCAATTAAATGCTGGAACCAACTTTCACCCAACCCTACCAATACCAATAATAAAACTAAAATAAACAATAATTCGCAAGTCGACAATGTAACACATATCCACCTTTAACCTGTTCCGAGCGCTACAGTCCAAGATTAACCAATACTTAATTCACTTAACGGCCACATAGTTACTTTATTACGAGTTACCGATAGCAGACTTGATAACACATGACTTGTGTAACGAGCTTGTAACTTACAAGGCTTGGTCACTTCGAAATTGTTGGAAGTGTTGTGACTATGACTAGATTCTCTAAAGTTTAGAATTGCTTTAATGTACATACATCTTTGTTAGGGGATATTTTAATGCAGATGATATCGGTGTGAAAAGGAAAAACGTTCATATTAGTACACTACTCAATCCATAATGAACGGATTGTTATTAAAAAAAGTAAAATCAAAGCATAATTATGCTTCAAGTAAAATTAAAAATGAAATAAAATCAAAACGTGTCATGAGCAAACAATTGAGGCAATATCAAAGAAACTAAAAAATCTTTGGAGGACATTATTACCTAATTTAATTTTTGTTTTAGATTATCCGAATGCATTTTTGTTATTATGGTATTTTAGAAATTACCTAGGTTCCCAATTAGCAGCCAACCGTCTGCGCGAACGCACTCGAAGACGCATGCGCACATGTCTTGTGGCCTCACCGCGAACGCTGACCACAGCTGCACCACCTCTCGTTGTTGATAACTGAAAATAAATTGGTATATTTAAAAATGTTGCTGTAATAAAGAAAGGTCTTGGCGGCTGAAAAGTGAAGACAAACTTATAGATAGGCTGTCTTTGTAATCGAATTAAGGATTTGTGGCTGATACTCATAAAATATGCAGTAAGTCTAAGCGTATATAGCTCAAAATTGCACTAAATGTCCTGGTGGTAATACGACAATGCAGGCCACTAATTTTCTTAAGTATCAAAAATGCTGTATAATGGCTTTATACTCACAACCATAACATATTTGTCGTGCTGTGATGTGTTTAAAGAAAATGTGCTCATTTCTCCACTCGCGCTTTCTTTCTGTAGTATCAATTGGCCTGGAAGTAGAAAAAGTTTTTTTAATACCAATCTTGTGTTCCAACATTAATACGTTTTATTTGCATGAGATTGTTAATTTTAGCTGTTGCTCTCTAAAAAGACTCTAAAGATGTGGTTTCAAAATATTTATGGTTATATATTGATATGTATGACCTGCGTATTTTATTTATTTAATACTGTTTCGTACAAATGCTTAAATCCATTTTATATTAGTTTGAAAGACTTACCATTATTATATCCAGCCTTCCCGTGGTATAGTGCCCAGTGGAAATCCCTGGAACATGGACTGATGGTGATGAAGACTATACTCTGGGATATGGATGAGGTGTTCAGCTCCAAGCTGCAACAACGACATGATGACAATATGAAATACGCTTTGAAGCCATTTCTCAAACAAGCTAAAGTAAAAAGGACGAATGGGCAGTAATGTAATAAGTGTAAAAGAATCGAATCCTGGAACTTTGGCTTCGAAGCCGCCTTTGCAACCACTTGTCCCAAATAAAGTAGTAAATATATCCCATTAACTTAGGATATATTACAAAAAGCAATCCTGAATCTAGTTTTTATTCAACTGCAAAAAATGAAGTTTTACATTTTCGAACATAGATGTCTTGTTCAACACTTAATTTTTGTTTCTTTTTCCTACATTTTTATGGTAATGAGAAGTTTAGTCCTTCTAGTATTATCTAAATAACGTTTCAATAAGTGTGGGCACCTTGTAAGTGGCTTAATATTAATGCAAATGGCGTAAAAATATCATCATTACCTGTTAATTCATGGTAGTGAGATAGCTACGCACTTTTGTGCTGATATAAGCTAATGCATGGAGCACCCAAGTATTTTTGTGGTTTACATCTGCTGTCTGGAAAAATTAGTTTTCTATCCCACTGTAGTCTATTCCTAAACCCAGTTCATTAAAAAATTCGAACCACACATGGTTATTGTCATATGAAGAACGTTTTGTAGTCCTCTGATAATTTTATCGAACTTTCGAAGAGAATGAGACCAAATATTTATTTCAAAATCCATTGGTCAATATTGAAAAGATCTTCATATTTACCTCCTACTTTCCCCTTCACCCAGTCTATAGACAGTTTGGTTGTCTATCGGCAGCCATTCCACTGGAACCTTGGAGACAGGTCTGCTGACCAGGACTGTGGGTGATGCGAGGCCTGCTCCCGCTGCGTGGAGGACCAGCAGACTTGCTAGTCTCATTGTGAAGATGCTTAATTTTCTGGAACAAAAGAGGACACATGAATGACATCTAGTACGCAACTACAAATCAAAAGAGTGTAAGAGACGATGTGTACTTTCAGCTCTTCATTACTATAAATACTTCGGAATAAAGTTACCTACGTTAGTGGTTCAATGACGCAATAATATTAAGTTAAAAATATTTAAAATACAGTACGGTGGGAAAGTAATCGTCTGTTGAATTCAGCGCCACCTACTGCTTCCAAATCTGGATCGTAAATCTATTTAGCACTTACGTTAACTCCATCAAAATCAGTGCAGCCGTTTCGGAGGAGGCCTATGTTGTGTGTATATGACGTAGATACATACATATAATAATGGCATATTTAAAGATAATAAAATTTTATAGACTTGGCCTTGAATGGGTTGTATGTTCCCAAGCAACATCAACTTATCTACTTCTTTATGAATTCGTGATACGATAAACAGAAACGAAACTTGCAACATCGAAAAGATGGAATTATTCAGGTCATAATAATATTAAAATCTATGTGCAAAACATCCGGCCGGGAATAAAATATATTCACACGACCTTCGACATTTAAATACAGTTTTCCATTCGAATAAAATCAAGAAAAAATAAAAATAGCACTGCCTGTCAAAACTAGAAAAGTTGAGCAACATTTTAAAACTGGGGCATAATCATATTCTACCTTATTTTGACAAACCAAGAAAAACTGGCCATACACATTTTAATGAGATGGTAATTAGCTTTAAGCCGTACAACGCTTTTCGATTCATAAATAGAACACTGTTTAAAAAAGGAACAACAGCTTCTAACGGTAGATTCGAATAATTTCAATAGAAAATATCAATCAAAATGCCATCCAAAACTGTTTTGAACAAAGGAAATCCTAAAAGAAACCCCAAAAAGGTTTAAAATTAGATACCATGTCACTTGTTATAAATCGATTATTCAATGAGTGTACTCGATTATACAACAGTGATCGATTTAAATCGGTTCGTTTCGGCGTGGTTAGTGCAAGGAGGTCAGTGGTCTTGGCAATTATTTTTGACACGTGTATCGGAAACGTACGTTAGTATCAATTTATATAAACTCTTATGTTTATACAACATGTGCAGTCTAAAGCTAAGCTATTATATTTTTTTATCATAGTTTTAATATAGGTAGGTATAGGATGGTACAATAATTCAAAGTCTACTGAACTTTTAAACTATTCGAACTGTTGATATGGCGTGTGAATAGATTCATTACAAACAAATCTTGGAGGTGACCAATTAAATGAGTAGCTGTATATTCTGTTTTAAATATACTCATTTCTTATCACCTCTATTCATCCAACTGTTCTCATAAGAACCGAGTAACGGACTATGTTTAACGGTGATCAAGGAATAGGTCTCTTTGATAAACTTGAAACATGTAAACTGTGTTAATAGGAAACTATTTTGTGGAGAAGGTCCTTGGCAGTAGAATCTAACGGGCTATTTGTGATCTGTATTGGTATTATGTATTCTAATCGTCAGAACTTTTTTTTGAGGTCGTAAAATCGTCTAATCACTTCTTTCGCCCGAGTGAAACAAGACTGTCAGACTCTTACTGACTAAAAATCACCTTGTTCCTACATCTGCACTTCTAGCCGGAGCCCCGGCAAACCATTAAGTCCTCTGTGGCTTCGTATCGGCATCAGCTCTGTTGGGCCCCATCTGTGGTGGTCTGATGGCTTTTTGAGGTGCGAGGAACGCAACGTGCCGTACGCTCAGGAATCATCAGAATTGCGTTAGTTAACTACTAAATCGAAGCTTTTCGATTTAATTATTTCATAAATTATACAAAATTTCTATTACTTTTGTACCCTTCGGAAAATTAACTGTATATTTTTTTATTGGTAACTGTTTAGGTCAAAAACTAATCTGGCCCGACCTTGGTCCCGATACATCTCTCCTATATTTTTTAACATCACGTTTTAAATGTTTTATAATGCTAATGTCTTCCGTCTTCCATTTATTCATGAGAAGATTTTCATTCAAAAGTGACGTATTCTTATTTTTTATGATTATGATGATTTGGTGCTATCGTAAAAGTATAAATTTTAATGAATTTTGTTTTTGTGAATGGAAGCTAGGGTGTTGTTCTTATGATCGGTAGTTTGCGTCATTGTTTAGTAAGAGATATAAAGTCTAATTTATCCTATCCTATTATTTATCGTTGGATGTCTGTTGTTTAACAAAGAAGCGATCTGACCTGAAGATGTGTCAGGAAACCTAAGTAAATAGTAAACATTAAAGTCATCATCATTACATCACGCTTTTTATCCCCGAAGGGCTAGGCGGTGCACACAAAGGTAACACAAATTTTTCATTAATTATGTTATGAGTCCCATGTAACAGGAGGTGAGCCTATTACCATATAATCAAACCCAAGACCCTTTGTGACTACTCGGCCGACGAGACAGTCAAAACATTAAAGTTATACTAATAAAATGCTACCACCAGCTACTTCGTAGTTTACTCGGCAAAAGTAATGACCAAAAATAACCCTAAACTCTCATAAACATTTTCAATACAAAAAACAATAAAGGAACAATAAAAAAACCACAATAAGGAATTCCAATTAACCAAGGCCGCAGCAAGACGTAGGTGATTAAACTCGATCATAGTACACGGCTACACATAAAGTTACGCAAATCCAGTATAAACTGATCTTTGAACGTGCGTAAATATCATACAAAGCAAGATCATGATAATCTGGTTTTGTATAGTTCAACGTGCACACAATATTGTAACAGGTAACCCCATATAAGTCAGTATAAAAACATTGCAATGCTCCTGTTTATCAATGTTTCGCCATAACCACTTAGAATATTATTCTATTTTTCTTCAAGAATCTCTTTCTGGTTCTGCGCCATTTTTTTTTCTATTGTTGCATAACATTCTTGACTGTATGATGTAGCCTGTTTGAGTTTTATGATCTGTGGTTCGAGTAAAATATTACTCGATGCAAAAATTACTTTAACATTGAAGTAATTGTCAGTGAGTTCTTTAGAAGTTAAAAAGCAGCATGAAAGTTACAATTTTGGAATATTTCATCTTTTAGACAATGTTATGTTTAATAACAGATGTATATTCTTACCAAACATCCCTAGACAATATTTAACTTTACTAAGAGTCTGAAAATTTATATTCTTCCCAAAATTTTCGTTGTCACCATTTATTGATCGTGTAATATATCGATAAATTTAATATTTTTGATAACTTAAAATATTGTTGCAAGTTGATAAAATTTAAACATAAGTTTGTCTTTATTCACTTCCACCTAAGTTGGTTTGGTCCTTAAATTAATTTCATTAACCTCTTGACTGCCGGTATATAAGACACAATAGAAAATGCATTGTGTCTCGCGTAGATCTACGTTACGGCACACGACGGGTTAAGCACTAAAACATAAAAAGGACCTAATACCAAATAACATCGAATACCAATGACGATTACATACTAAAATCAACTAATAAGAGAACCAAGTACCTCGTATTTTATAACCCTAAGTATTTCCTTACATATTTAGCTAACGGTAGGATCAGTACCTCTACCATGAATTTAAAGCAATAATAGTCGATACTTGATAACGACCACGTAAATTTTTATTCTATGGAATGTTTCATCAGCGCCTCTAGTGGTCATTTAGGGAACTAAAATTCGCTATACAAAAAATTACGTCGTCACTATCGAGTATCGACAAATACTACTGCTTTGAACTTATAGTAGAGGTACAGTTCAGCTTTTATGAACCCTAGAATGACCATTTGTAGCCACAAAGGTTCTTTGTGTGTATATTAACTGGTAGTTAACGTAAACTCGTAAATATTAACTTCGTTATTGTACTACGTTTTATTATAATTTGTTTGGAAAATTGTTGACCGGTACTTAACCTTCAGAAATTATAAAACTAATCAAGGTACCGTTGGGAAAATATTATGGAGGAGTTTTGACTTATTTTTCTGTGTGTGCAATCATAAATATATAGTATAAAACAAAGTCGCTATCCGCCGTCTGTCTGTCCCTACGTATGCTTAGATCTTTAAAACTACGCAACGGATTTTGATGTGATTTTTTTTTATATTTTATTGCACACACCGAAAAATAAGTATACATTGTAATAGTAATTTGAGAACAATGGGCAGTCTTATCACACGCGGCGATTTCTTCCAGACAACCTTTCGATGGAATTTTTGAATAAAGTCTGGGAATGGGTAGGTTAATATCCTATATACTTGTGTTAACAAAATTATCCCTCATTTCGTTTACGACAGCACAATTTTAGACACAAATTTTGCAAGCTACCTATTATTAAAAAGACTTAAAAAAACATTCAAATTGATATCTACATTACCTACACAGTAAGATCCTACAGAAATTCTTACACATTACAATTATCTTTTACTTAATCTATCTATCTATATAAATAAAAAAGAATTGTTGTTCGTTAGTCTCGCTATAACTCGAGAACGTCTGAACCGATTTGGCTAATTTTGGTCTTGAAATGTTCGTGGAAGTTCAGGGAGGGTTTAAAAGGTGAGAAAAATATTTTTTAGGCGGTACGAAGTTTGCCGGGTCAGCTAGTTATAATATAAAGATACCTATTAATTCCTATAAATTCAACCCGAGAGGTAAAAGTTTACTATTTATGTGAAACAGAACATCATACATTTAAATTACGTATTTTATTGAACGTTAAAGAGAATTCATTTCGCACTTACAGCGGTTTACGCGTAAATGTTTAGAATATATTGTATAATTACTATAAGATAGTTGTATAGTCATAAATTTTGAGGAAATATTTTGTCTCTCCGTTGTAAACACCTGGGGGTTCTGTTACAACAGTAATGTTGTGTGTAAAAAAAACCAACACCTAATATTGATTTTTTTATGGTATAAGTCGGTATACGAGCACACGGATCACCTGATGGTAAGTAATCGGCATCGCTCATGGACACTTGGAACAACAGAGGCGTTACAAATGCG